GGGGCCGGATACGCGGCCCCGTTTGGCAGCCCTATGATGCTGCGCCGCGTGGCGTGGCTGCTCCCAGGAGGCCCCGTGCCAAAGAGCTCCTCCTCCTCTGGTGCGGTGTTGTTGCCATTCTGGTCCTTGGCGGGCGCGGCGGCCGCGCGTGCATGCAGCTCCTTGTGATTGCGCCACGCGGCGGCAAAGCACTGGGGGCTGCAGTGGTAGCTCTTGGCAGCCGGCAGCTTGGCCTTCACGCACAGCAGGCACTGCAGCGTGGCCACCTCGCTTGGGTGGACGCTGCACACAGCCACCCGCTTCTCGTTCTTAACCCGTAGCCTGCAGGAATGGGAGTAGTTGAAGTTAGCGTCCCCTGCCCTTGAGCGATGTAAAATGCAACTCCAGCTGGCAGCATGTAATGAGGGTTCGCTGCGAACCAGTGCCTGAACAAAGCTCTGCAAAGATGAACATTTTCCAGACCGAGTCCTTGTTCTTACCATTTGCACTGAAGGTAGTAGCCTTGCACGGGCGCGCCCTCTGGAATGTCATCGGTAGTGATGCTGTTGTCTGGCTTGCGCAGAAGCACGTACGGGGTCAATTCACAGCCCGCGATCGGAATGTCCGAAGGCAAGTGTGTTCTCAGAACGGACAGCATCTCTTTTGCGCAGGATACCTACCCTACCAGCGGTGTTCCTCAAGGCCCCAGCGTTTGGGGAGCTGCTCAGGATGCCAAACCCCATCACCCTGCGGCTAACAGGTCGAAGCTCATCCCTGATCCTAACTCAAACTACATGAAACTGGGGAGGCCCACATACTCTCGACACAGCAACCTGTGGTAAAACTTTGAGATTCGTGCCCCGCCCAAATCGTGCCAGGGATTGGCTCTAATCGTGCCCCAGCGGCAGTTAGCGGTTTTCCAGCATCAACTGTCGCCGTGATCGCCCATACCTTATTGTGCTGCGTAGACTGCACTTGCAGTGTTCTTGCTCCGTAGCTGCGATCCGTGCCCCTAGCTGCAACCCCCAAAACCTCAGAGTCGAGTCCCAGATTGCGCTGGTGCCATTTTCAGCTTTTCTACCCCTGTTGATGTTCTTCAGAGAGCACACAAATCGAGCTGGAGAAATCGGGGCTGTCACGGCTAGAGGCTTGTTCTATTATGGGAGCTTGTTCTAAACAAAATGCTCTCTTTTTTCTTGCCCGGGACGCTGGTGATGTTCAGGCCGGAACAGACTTTGTGGTCTGAACCTGGATGGGACAAACGACCGAAGCCCCTACTCGGGAGCATCAACCGGTGAGAGGCTGTCACTTCGAAGCGTACAAGAAACGGTCCCGAGCCACCTAGTATGCAAGCTTGCCATGGCTTCCAATTGCTTCCTCCCTCCACAACTTCAACACCGACTCGAGCCATAAGCAGATTCCAGAATTGTCACTGATCTGGACGTTCCGTTCATCAGGACGCCAGCAAAGAAAGCGGGTCATCAGAGAACATCAGAGAAACTCTTCGTGCTCAGTGCGAGCCAAAGGCAATTGCAATGGCGGCGGTTGCTATGGAAGTCAGCCTTCCTCAGAAAGTCCACGCTATCCGGGATGAGGAGTCCGAGGATCTGTACGCAGGGTTCAAGAAGCTGCAGAGGCAGCTGGAGTTTCTGGACATCCAGGAGGAGTACATCAAAGATGAGCAGAAGAACCTGAAGCGGGAGCTGCTGCGTGCACAGGAGGAGGTGAAGCGTATTCAATCGGTGCCGCTGGTAATTGGGCAATTCTTGGAGATGGTCGATGCAAACAACGGGATTGTGGGATCAACAACGGGGTCCAATTACTATGTGCGCATCTTGAGCACCATCAACCGCGAGCTCCTGAAGCCCTCCTCCTCAGTTGCCCTCCACCGGCACTCCAACGCTCTCGTTGACGTGCTGCCGCCGGAAGCAGACTCCAGCATCTCCCTGCTAAGCCAGTCAGAAAAGCCAGACGTATCATACTCGGTGAGTCCCCTGGTTGCATGTTGCTCACTGTTCTTCAGTCCCCTGGTCAGGAAACGTGTTGCTCTAGGGTTTGGTCTGAAGATGCTTGTCTCCACCATCTTTGCGAGGCAGTCTTCTGGATTTTCGTACCTGATATATCTTCTTACCTTTTCGTTTGGTCCAGGACATTGGGGGAAACGACATCCAGAAGCAGGAGATCCGCGAGGCTGTTGAGCTGCCTCTTACTCACCACGAGCTGTACCGTCAGATTGGGATTGATCCCCCGCGGGGGGTGCTTCTTTATGGACCTCCTGGGACAGGCAAGACCATGCTGGCCAAGGCCGTGGCCCACCACACAACAGCGGCGTTCATTCGGGTAGTCGGCTCCGAGTTCGTTCAGAAGTACCTGGGGGAGGTGAGGGATGATGCTGTCCCACTCTATTCCAAGGGCCGACAGTTTTCTGCTTCCCTGGAAAGTAGCGTAGCCTGTTAACCTTGTTTTCAAGTCAGTTCTTGGACTATGCTGACTGATTGCTAAGTCCAGCTCGTTCTTGGTCTGTGAAAGTATAAAAGCTGGTATAAAAGCTGTTGCTCAAGTCCAAGTTCGCATCTTTGCAGGGTCCTCGGATGGTCCGGGACGTCTTCCGATTGGCCAAGGAGAACGCTCCTGCCATCATCTTCATTGACGAGATCGACGCGATTGCCACCGCCCGGTTTGATGCGCAGACTGGGGCTGACAGGGAGGTGCAGAGGATCCTCATGGAGCTGCTCAACCAGGTGCGCCCATCCTCAGGAACACCCATGCAGCACCCTGCATGGGTTGGAGTTTCTTGCAACTTCTTCCAATCTTGTGAAGGCCCACCTTACAGCCTTCTTGGTCAGTTTCGTCCCTGTGCTGTTCTCTTCTGGGCTTGCTCTTGCAGGTTTTTGCCAGGTTACACCGCTCCGTTGCTATCCGACGTGGCCAGAGGCCAGCACAGGGGCTGTGTCTTGATTGCCCCCTTGTATCTACAGCTTCTTCAATCATGTCCTGCTGCTTGACTCCCCCCATTGCTGCTGCCCCCGTGATGCATTCGCAGCCTGGCGAACTGATTAACCTAGTTGCACCATTGTTCAGACGCCTAATGCTCGCATCCTCTGCAGATGGACGGCTTTGACCAGACGGTGAATGTGAAGGTGATCATGGCCACCAACCGTGCCGACACCCTAGACCCTGCCCTGCTGCGGCCCGGGCGTCTGGACAGAAAGATTGAGTTCCCCCTGCCTGACCGGCGGCAAAAGCGGCTGGTATTCCAGGTACGTCTCTTCTCCAGTTTTCCTAGGGGTGCTTCTCTTTAAGTATGGCTGGTGGATCTTCAAAGCTGCAGTGGACGCGTGCTTTTTAAGGGTTGAAAGGGCAAGTCTCTCACGATGTCATCTTGTCACAGGTGTGCACCGCAAAGATGAACCTGAGTGATGAAGTGGATTTGGAGGACTACGTGTCTCGGCCGGATAAGATCAGCGCAGCAGAGGTAAGCAGGGCTGCAATATCTCCTGCGAAGGGAATAAGATCAGCCTGATGCAGCATGGATTGAGCAAAGCTTGCAGAGAGCTGAGAGCTGCATAGAAGCAGCCATGAGCTCGTTACTTGCAGTTGGGGTTCCCCTTCCAATTCTTCTTCTGAAGGAAGTTCCTGACTCCAATCTGCCCTTGTAAATGGCAGATCCACGCAATCACCCAAGAAGCGGGTATGCTAGCGGTGAGGAAGAACAGGTACGTCATTCTGCCCAAAGATTTCGAAAAAGCGTACAAGTCGAACGTAAAGAAGTCGGATACGGATTTCGAGTTCTACAAGTAGAGAGACATCAAGCAAGCGCATGCATATACTGAATGGGTCTGGCAGTACAAGCTTCTCTGAGATTGACTTCCTGACTTACTCAACTCCATGAGAAACATGCATGTGGGTCTCAGGCAATGAAGCAGTATGAGTGCGTCCCGTTGCACTTTAACAAGTGCACCCTGAGTGGACAGATGCTCAATCCAGGCATGGCTATGCATCTGATAGCTATAATTTTCGCTTCCAGCAAGAGAAGGTCATCTTCCCCTCTTTGCCGGCCCGCAGATTGCATGACGGTCACTACCTTAGTCTGCGGCTGTGTTACCGGAACGGTGCGCATGCGTGCAGCTGCATGGTTCCAGAGCTCTAGCCAGATCTATACCTAGCTCGTACTAATTTATTTCTATAGTACGGCACATGGCGTAATTAAGTACATAAGAAGTAGAATGTTAATATACTTTTGTGTCAATTGAAGCCTGATCATGACGATCTCACATGCAATATAGCCTAGATCTGCTATATTATGACGAAAGCTCGAGCTTTCGTCGCACTGATGCGTCGATCATGCATGATTCTCGCCAGGCGGCGGCTCAGGCTATCAATTCTTATACTTTCGGCCGCCAGCGCTGCCATGTGTACTAGCTCTGCTGTATGCACTGAACGAGATCAAGGCGCCATTCACATGCAATATGACACAAAATAACGTCAAGGTCCAGATGGCATGCAGATGATGCCATTCGCACTGCATCACGTCCTGAATGCACATGATTTTCTTGTGCACATGGAGACTCAAAGGAACTTGGTGATTGCATGATGCAACGTCACGAGGTTGCCAAAAAGATTCAGACGCTACCTCACGCTGAACCAGACAGCAAGTGACAAAGCTCCGGTACGTTTTGTGATCTTCCTAAAGACACGTTAGGTTTGAAGACGACCTGATCATAATGCATCAGCGGTAAGCCGGCACGAACGTCCTAATAAGTACCTGTATGAGTCGTTTTGCAGCTTTAGCAAATTTTCGCTAACACCCAATACCCACCCAACGAATGGACCAACTAGAAAGCTCGAAGCAACCGCTGTGTATCGAAGCATCCCAATTCCTTTAGGTACAACCATTACTCTAGTTATTACAAAGAGCTGCAAAAGGGATGCGGCTGTCCGATCTGTCGAGCCCCTCTTGCGACTTGCTAGTTGGGGGACAAGGAATGCGGCTTTCTGGTTTAACAGTTCCATCTTGCAAGAGTGGGTTGGAGTTTTGGGCCTGCTTCCCCCTGAAATCCTCCACCAAGCTCGAGAAATCAGGAGCACGAAGAGACTCGATGGTTGCCTGTGGGGGTACTTCGATGTGACGCCGTTTGGGAGTCCGGGCGGTCGAGATGTCGTCCTGGGACAAGGCATGCCAGGATGTGAGCCGGCGGAACGGTAGACCATTCGTAACGGCGGTTCGCCTCTCGCTACACAGGCTTTGTGCAAACGAAGAATCTCTGATTCGAAAGATAAAAATTGACTGTAGCCTGGCACGTTCCACAAGCCACACCAATGGCAGTACTTCCAATCACCGAAAAATGTGCTCGTGTTGGTGCGCGCAACATGTGACGCGCTTACCAGCAGGTCGTGGTCGAAAAACTGGTCCAGCGCAGCCTGGACGTCGGTAACGTCGCGGCTGTGGTGCTCCTCGTCCCTCGCAGCCGCCGTCCCGCAGTTGGTCACCACCGCCGACAGGGCACCCAGGCTGCGCACCTCCTCCGAGTGGGCACCTGGGGCACACCCACGCGGCACAGCTCAGCACGGCGACGAACGACAACTCGAGCTGGACGGTGGCGAACCTGCTCTGCCCTTGGCCACAGGGATCCGTGAAATCGATCCGAACTGGAAGAGCCCAAAACTCGCCAGGAGGCTAGGCGGTTGCGATTGCCAAGCCTGCTCACCTGTGACAGCGGTCGTGATGCGCTGGTGCACGTCGTCTGCGGCTTTGGCTGCCGTTGTGGTCCACCCCTCCACGGTTGACAGCAAAGCCGTGTCCGCCTCCCCGGCCGTTCTGCAGCCAGACACCGAGAGTAAGACGAAGGGCCGAATTGAGGCCGAAAAAGCTGCCGCTGAGCAGACATCCTGCGCGTGCGGGTGTGCGCACAGGGTCAAGCTGCCTCGCTCGCACACGCGCTCTGCTCACCTGCGCTCTGCCGCCTGCCGGTCTTGCTGCTCCTTCTCGTGCTGGGCGATCGTGGCTTGCAGGGCCGTCCAATGATGCGCGCTGGCCACGCGAAGAGACGCACTGCAAAATAGGCGGGGAACTCAACACATGGCTCTAGAGAGATAGCTTGTGCGGTGAGCTGTAGGCTGTGTCTGGCCTGCAGCCATTGTGCGCTAAGCGTCAAGAAACAAGATTCGGCGAAAGGAAGGCAGCAAGTCGCCTCGCGGCCGCTCCTCGGTGTGTGGCTCACCTCTCTTGCGCGGTCTCTTCCATGGCCTGCCCGCCCTGCGTGAGCGCCTGCAGGGTGGCGTGCGCGGTTTTCTCTGCGTGCTGCTCCCACGTGCGGGCCGCGTCGATGGCGGCGTGGCCGTGCTCGCCCATCGTGGCCAGCGCGGCCTGCACGCCCGCCTCTCCGGCGACCAGCCCGCCCTCGAGCGCCTCCACGCGCGTCGCCAGCAGCGCTGCCTGCCGGCCCAGCGTGGCGCCCACCAGCGCCGACACGCGCTCCACCAGGGCCGCCTCCTCCGCAGCAGCCTGCGCCTGCAGTCAAGCACGCAGACACTGGTCAAAATATAGACAACAGGGACACGACACCGCGACCATCATCCTTGTAGAGAAACGTCAAAGGCACTTCGGCGGAAGTAAGACTCTCTAGTTACGCCCCCCTCTCTACCACTTCTTACATAATTCTGAAGATTGTATGCTACGATCTATTGTAACCACTCTTCCAAAGGCCTTCTATTTGACCGTTGCAAGAGAGAGTTTGTTGGTCAGGTTCGCCGGCTCACTTTGTAGTCTTGGACCAGGGTGGCCAGCACCTGCGTGTTGCCCCGGTGCGTCTCCGCCGCCAGCAGGCCGCAGTCTCGCGCCGCCTGCTGCAGCGTACCCAGGGCAGACTGCATGCTCGCGCTCATGGCCTGGCACGAGCCCAGCGCCGCGCTCGTGGCCTGCCCCAGAGAGAACCGTGTCAGGCCCCGTCGCAGAGACCAGCTTGCATTACAGCTTTACGACCCTCGACAGCGTGCCAGAGGGGAGTTCACGGTGTGTTTTGAACAGCTGTGCGCGTTCTTTTCGTCTTCGCAACCAATCGCTCAAGCAACTGAGAAAAGACAAAAGTGGTCATGATGATTTTCGAAAAGTTCTCCTTTCATCAGGTGAGGCGGAAATGTGGTAGAAGGGAGAGCTTGCAGATAATTGGAGAAACCTGGAAGAAGCAATATACGGACGCGCAAGAAAGAGGTCCGCCCGAAAACGTTCAAAACGGATTGCTAACAACAGAGACCATGCACGCGCAGATTGTTTCATTTCCAATGCCACGAGGCTGGCTCTGTCCTCAAAGGGGCCTTTCAATCTTTTCAAGACGAGCTTGCCACAAAAGGATGACCCAAATTGCACAAGGAGTCTCGAACAGGCCCATAACTGCTCAACGTCGTGCTCTCCCCTGGCCAGCAGCGCGCCTCACCTCCCTCTGCTGCTGCACCATGGCCGTCACTTGCTTGTGCTGCGTATCCAGGGCCCCCTGCAGTGCCTTGAGCGTCTCCCCCGCCTCCTGCACGGCCCTGCCCAGCCCCGCCTGCGCCGCGGCCGCCGCCTCCTCGTCCTCCTGCTCCGCCTCCCCCCTGCGCTGCGCGCCCGCGTCTACGTGCTGCCGCACCTGCTCTAGGGCCCGCCCCGTCTCCCGCTCAAACAGGTCGCGCAGGTCCGCCGTCGCCGCACTGAGGGCTGGCAGGTCGCGCTCCTTGCGGTCGGTGAGCGCGGCCAGGCCCGTCGCCAAATGCGCGAGCTGGGCCTGCTGAGCCGCCACTGCAGAGTGAATGGCCGACTCCAGTGCGCTCAGCTGGCCCGCGACGCGCGCATGGGCCGTCGCACCCGTGCGCTTGTTGGACACCTCGACGGAGGACTTGCGCTCTGGCACACGGAACAAGTGGCCGTGATTATTGGGGGACTCGAACACTGGCGGAGAGATCTCAAAACGGCAAAATGTTCCGTAGTGGGAACTCATACTTGAAAGTTCGCGTGTAGCTCCTAACGCGGGTTTTGATGTAGGTACACCTCATGCAGGATGCAAAAAAGTCTTGGTCGCAGAGCAGGCAAACTGTGAGGTGGGAGCTCACCGATCTTTGCGAAGAGGCCAGTTACGTCCTGCGAGGTTGCGTGCAGCTCGGCTCGGAGGCTGTCCGCCTTCTTGACAAGGGCTTCCTCTGCACAAGAAGAACCGAAACGAGTGGGGTATCAGCACACGGGCAGCCATCTACGTAGAGGAGACGAAACACGCATGGAGGTAAGACGATAAGAACCAGAGTCAGAGAACACGCCCTCAAATCCTCATGCGTCATCGAGTGGCGTAGCTGTCCCGTCGCACCTGCTCGTTTCTGGCAGGCAATCACGAAGTCCCGCTCCTGGACCGCACCCTCCGCCTTCTGCAGGGCGGCCTGTGTGTCCAGCAGCGCTGCCTGCGTCTGCTCCAGCTGCCCCTGTCGCCAGCAAGCGGAACGAGGTCAACGCTGAGGAAAGTAGGCATCATCATCTGCAATCTTGTACTGGAGACCCTGAGGAGGCCCGTAAAAGGAGTCGAAGTCCACGAGAACAGACCGGGCTGCATCTTTGATTGGCATAAGAGCCCACTGGTAAACGTGTTCGTGAGCTGGCAGCCCGTCTCACCTGGGTGGCGGTGTGCCGCAAGGTCAAGTCCTCGAGCTGCTTCTTCTGCTGCTCGCACGTCTCCGTTGTCTCCTCCAGCACCTGCAAGGCCAGGGAAAACCAAGTTGGGGACTGCCCTTAGGCGCCACGCGGAGGTCATCGTCACACACTTCGAAGTGTCTGCCTGATGGGAACCTTTAGAGTTCCTTCAGAAGCTAGCAAAATACCGTTTTGCTTCACAGTTCATGGAGGGAAGGGACTTGGTGACGGCCCGTACCTTCTCCTTCGCCTCTGCTTCCGTTTCTAGCACCTCGACCCGCTCTGCCAGCTCCTGCATGCAAAAAATGGATGGCTTATCACCAGCAGACTCACTCCCAACAACACTCTTAAGCGACAGTGAGGACGTAGCCAGGCATATTGTGTTACTCGCATTCCAACAGCAAGACCTCCGACGTCCGGGCGGGCAGGAGACATGCACACCTTCTTGTAGGCCTCGTCCTCGAAGTAGCGGTCCCGGGGAACGTAGATGCCGTTTTTCTCCCTTGCGGCGCCCAGCTCTGCAATGGGGTGAGACAGTCTAATCAGTGGTTATAGTCTTCTTGATTCAGCAACAAAGGGTGACTGATTGAATACAGTATTGCAACCGTAGCGCAAGACCATAAGAGCGCTTTAGGAAGTTGAAAACAAAAGTTGAACCCAAACTCTACTAAAAGCTTGGGCCCTCAGGATGTGTTCTCAAAAGAGGCGGCCCACCTTGCTTGAGCCGGTCGATCTCGTGCGCCATGTCCTTGATGAGGGCGGTCTTGGTCATCTTCTGGTTCACCTCCGGCTTGTTCTTGATGTTCTTGGCACGCTGGGCATAGTCCAACGTGCTCAGCGTCTCCTCCAGGCAGTGCGCATTGGGGGACACGGTGGCGATGATGCACGTCTTGGTGCGGCCCCCCAGGGAGTCGCGCAGCAGGCGGGTGAGCTTGCTGTCGCGATAGGGGATGTGCCCCAGGTGCTCCACCAGCGCGGTGATGACGCGGCCCAGCGTCAGCAGGCTCTTGTTGATCAGGCCAGCCTCCTGGGCACGGCCCTGCAAACAGGAGCGAACGCCCAGGAAAGCGTCATTCGCAGGAAAGAAAGCAAGTCACAACAACCTTGCGGACCTGAACAGGACTATCAGAACATGTCTGCATGTGCATCAGGGGGTTCGGGGGATTACATATGAGGCGAGACCATTTGACCATGGTGCTTTCGTTGTGTTGACGAGGTGTCTGCTCTGATCAAATCCAACCCAACTGCCTAGCCACTTGTAATAGTCCCCAACTTACATCTGCCCTGCTGGCCCCCGAGCGTGAGATGTTCTCTGACCCAGCAAGGTCGACCAGGTTCAGCTTCCCACACTTGATGAGCTCCTCGCCCTCAGGTGTGGACTCCTTGATGTGGATGGTGATAGCAAAGACGGAGTGCGAGCGGCTGCAGCAGTGCAAGTCTTGTTAGGATACATTCAAGGACGAGTCCTGCCTTTGCCTTGCTTGCACAACAACGAGCTAGTGCGTCCTTATTGCCCACGATTGATGACCCTGCATTCGATTGAGGATGTTCATACCTGGATTGCTTGTTGAGAAGAGTTTCTGCTGTCCGCCGCTTGGCTGAACCTCTGTCCAGAAGGCTATAGATCTCCCCTGCATTCTTCACAATCTCCTCCTCTAGGCCCCGCACAATGACGCCGCCCCGCCCATCTTCCATAAGGGCAAGCGGCTTTCGGGAGCCACCATCGGCGGAGGACCCCTGCACGAATACCAGACCCCGCTGTTGTATACCGATGGTGTCCCATTATACTGGTATGCTCAGGGGTCTCTGTAAAAGACATAGGTGCATCATATTGGTCTCAGTTTTGGCACACCAGATTGCAGATTGTTTGCCTGCCCTGTTCTAATGTGTTGAAAGGAGCAAGAGCGTCACATACCTTGATCATGTCCACATCGGTGGCTAAGAGGTCGGTAATCTCCTCATTGTACAGCTCCAAGAACGTAGTTTTCACACTGTACTCGGCACTCTGGCTTTCGAGTGTGTCAAAAATCTGTTGTACGGCTCGGGGAATAACCCCTGCTCCTTCTGGCAAGGTGGAGTCCTGTCACGAGAAGAGCGTGTCCCTCTTTTGTTTCTTTATGCAAAGGGATTGGCGAAGCCAGTTAAGCAGGCAGATCAGGGTCTCAATTCTCACTGATTCGCATGCTGCAGGAGCAGATGTGCTAGTCGTCGGGCGCCAAGGAAATGCTACTTTTATGAACTTACCTTGCCCTTCTTAGCGTTGCCTTCCATGGTATACGTTTTGCCTGTTCCAGTCTGCACCACAGCATTCCAGCTTGGTTAGCCATGTTGTTGCCCCTACTTGTACACCTGGCCAGCCAATGCTTTGCAAGATCACAGCATATCAGTGGCTTTGCTTCTTCAATGGCGACAGAGCGTTTGCTGCTAGACTTGCCACTGCCCTCACCTGTCCATAAGCAAAGATGGTGCAATTGAAGCCCTCGAGTACTTCATGCACAATGGGCACCACCGCTTGCTCATAGAGTTCGCATTGTTTGGACTCCGGTCCAAAAACCTGGAAGAGCAGCAGTGCAGAATTTAGAAATAGGATGCTTTTGCTTTGTTGTCAAACATAGCAGACCCATGATTTTCAGGATTACCAAATTCTGGTCAATCGCTTGAACAGCTTCTATGAAAACCAAAACCATGCCCATTTGCAAGGCTGGATCGAAAACCAACCTTTCGCCGTCGCTCTTCCCAGGCTGCCATTCAAGGATCAGCTTTTGAATCTTACCTTGTCAAAAGTGAATGTTCTATCAATCTGTTTCCCCGCTATGCTTTGGTGTACTGCCACTTCTTTCCGCGCCTCATTGCACACTACGGCCTGAAAAGCACTTTGCTTGCTTTCCTCCTCATTGCTCGGCCTGCATACGGAAGGAAGCAGATTCAGGAGTCACGTTGTACAAACATTGCACTTCATGTATGATTCCTCTTTCCAATAAGAAGCAGCTTGTTGGAGAAGGGCATTCCCACCACCGGACGTGATCGTACTCACCTGCATCTCACAAGCACCTGTACATTCACGCCTTTGTCCTTTTCTCGCCCACCATGCACAGCAGCCATTTTGGCTGGTGGCAGGAACTAGATTGCCCAGCCTGAAACCCTAAACTTTGCGATCCAATGTCTCCTGACAAAGTCTTATGACTTGTTGGCAGCCCTCTTTTCTATGCTTGCGCTGAGCAGTGCATCTCACTTGCAAATACACCAACGATACTGAGGATTGTAGAGAATGTTGAGACCATCTTTTGCGCAGATGTCATTGATCAATTGCAATAGAGAACGTTAAAAGTGCTTGCTGCGTGCAGACTGATGTGTTCTTGCACCTGCTTTCCGATCGTCAGGTGCCCTCTCATCAGACAAATTTCAATCAAATCTCTCAATTGGTGCACTTCTTGCTGCAAGTGCTACCGTTCAACCTAAACCTTCCTTTCTCATGCTGCCAAATACACCTTGCAAGCTGATCCATATGCTAGTCCCGAATGCTACTCTTCTGCCAGCCAGAGCATGCCATGGTACACACTGGCAGTGGAGGAGGCACAGCAGCTTGGTCCGGACTCCGCAGGCTTCAACAACATGTTTTGTTCGCCATTTGTGCGCCAATATACGGTAATTTCGATGGCCTCAGCCTGAGGCTCCGAGTGACCGAGTCCAGGCTCCTCTTCAAAAGAATTGAATTTGAAAGTGCGTCAAGCTCGTTCTTAGAATACCATCGAGAACTTCGAGCCGTCGATGAGGTGACCCACGACAGGCTTCTCGATCGTCAGATCATACTGTCATCTACGCCTGGGAGTCCATCAGAGTCATATTACACTAGGTATGCATTTGTGAACAAAGGATTCGCCTGATACCTTCCCTTGTCTAGTTACCGTACACAATGGCAACCAGGCTTGAACCAGCTGCAGCCTGGCCCTGACTCTGAGGCTGCATGAGGACCGAGGTATCGTGTTGACAGCTCAGCGATGACATGAGAAAGTAGACCAGGACTCGGGAGAATGGCATGGCTGCAGGCGCCATTGTCTGGCTCGGATGAGGGGTTCACATCCCCGGGTTGGGCGGCGGAAAGACGGTACTGTGCTCCGTTGATGCAAGGGGCACGGCGATAGCTTGTTAGTGGTTCTTAGGTCTTTGCAAGGGTTCTTGTTGTGCTTGCTTACAATGGCGGGGATGGTGGCATCGCAGGCCGGCATGGGCGTCACAAAGCTGGTGACGCTCGTTGTTGGGGCAGGTAAGTACGCACAGGGTATACGTATGATTTAAGGGATCCAAATATTTTGCTTCTGTTTGAGTCTAGCTCGTTTCCTACATCGTATTGTGTGAACAGGCGTCCTGCTTTGCGAGTCTACCTCAAAGTACGGAGGTTTTCCGCATATGATTTACTTTCTGGTGCAGGTCTCGGAGGCGCATATGTGCTGGGTAACAAGAGTGTTGGGTCCTTGTTCTCAGATCTATCAAAGGTAGGTTTGCCAAACTTCACGCGCAGCAAACCCATGCCATGTAGCATTTAAGCGTGCGGCCACTTTTTCAAACTCTTGCCACTTTTTCAAACTTTTGCCTGTTGCGTTCCTTATAGTCTGGTTGACAGTGCTTACTTGTCTCGCTTTCCTTCACTGCGTATCCTTTATGCTTGCAGGTTCTTACCCGCCACCTTGCTCCAAGTTCAGACAGTGAGCTGGGAGATGGGGACGGGGCTGGTCGAGGGATTGACGCAGCAACTGCAGCACTGACAGCGCAAGTGAGTAGAGCGCTGGTTAGCAAATTGTGTTCCTCAGCCCAGGCCGCTGCTGTGGGCGATGAAGCCGCAATGCTGAAAGAAAGAGGGGCCCAAGACATACAGTTTTTCAAATCCGTGATTAACTGTTTGTCTCTTTTTTCGCCCAGGTTCGCCGCTTGTCTCAAGAGATGAGGCAGCTAGCCGCAGCTACGGGGAGCCGAGTGACAGTGGTCAGCACCCGGGAGCAAAAAGGTGAGGAACGCTTGGGTTTGGCTGAGAGCGCTATCGCTGTATTGGGGGACCAGGCTATCCCAGGAGTGTCTGACTATCAAGTGTTTAATTGAAAGGCTGGACAGCTCCCCAAAGAGACATGCTGTTCTTGCTCTCACTTGTGTTTCCTTTTGCAGGAACTTTGGTATCATTAGCTGTTCCTATTGCGGTCGCAGGGGCAGGGGTATACGTCTACATGTACTTCAAGGTTAGTACAACTTTACGTTACTGCTTTGATGCGGAGTGGCTTTGGTGTAGCAATCTGTACATAATAAGATAAGTTCTCAGCTGTAGTGGCTCACTGTTGTCCTCCTGTGCCAATTGAAATTCTAGCGACGATCGGCCGAAGATTTGCCCTCTTGCACTGCAGGGCGTCACCTTGGCAGATTTTATGTACGTCACCAAGAAGAGCCTCGACGGTGCCGTTGTCAACATGCAGAAAAGATTGGATCAATTTACAGCTTCTCTGGTGGTAAGTTGCTTTCCCAATGATATCCATAGACAAAGCACCTCAGAGGGCAGATCTTGAAGGATGCGAGTAGCTAAAAGTCAACCTGATGCTGGATCAGGTGGTCTTGTTCTGCTGACCACATGGATCCGTCGGATGAAAGGCAAGAGCAGTTCTATTCTTTCTGGGTCCTGCACGATCAAAATTGCGGAAAATCTTTTTGCAGGCCCACAAACGAGATATGGCAGGGCGCCTGGACAAAGTGAATCGTATTCAGGAGGAGGGTGCGGTCATCCAGGGGCAGATCAAAGATCAAGTAAGGTCGACGGGTGATTTGTCAGCTCTTGGGTGACAGTTGCGTGCCCCATGGCAGATTCTCCATTGCTTATTACCTGTAGTGATTGTTGCATCGAGGTTATGCTGCACTTGGATGCCAAGTTTTGCCAATCTGTTGATCATGTCCTCCTTGTGCAGGTTGATGAGATGAGTGGAAAAGTGCTCCGTGTGGGTCAGGACATTGAGGCGGTTCAGCGGATAGTTCGGGGACTGGTGAGGGCATTTCTAACAAAGGTCCAGCAAGAACAATTCAGAAGTTCGCAACGAACAGATGTTTCTGTCTGTAAATTTCCTATGGTCACTGAAAACCGATGCTGTAGCAGTGATTTCTTGCATGTTGCACACAGGAATGGGTGTTATCAGCTTCATTTGTGGTGCCAATATGCTGATTCTGCCCACTTTGCGTGCTTGTACAGGAGTACAAGCTGGAGGAGGTAACTGACAAGCAGGACTTCAGCAACCGAGGCATTATGTACCTGTGCTCCTTTGTCACGGAGGGCATCGAGGGCCGGCAACCTAGGCAAGAAACGATCCAGGTGAGCCGTCGAAAGGCAGCGGGCCACTGTAGGACGGAGAAACTTGTGTTTGGCCCTTGCAGCAATAGGGTGAGCAAACCACCAGACATCAAATCATATTGATTCGTCAAATCATGGCTGCTCCTTCTTCCTGGCTGCCTGAAGGCTGGCTGGCACGATCTGTTCCTCCGACTTTGTTGGCTCCAGTACATACATTCTGTTGTATGCAGGGCCTGCGTGCTCTTCGGCTCGACCGAAGTGCTTCCATGCCCATGGGCAATGGCCAATCGTTGTCTCTCAAGGTTAGGCTGCATTCTTCGACTTCCTTGTTTGCAAAGTGTACAAAAGTTCTTGGTGCCAGTGCCGGGCTTGAAGGTCTACTTTCAATTGAAAGTTTTGAAACTTGGTGAATTGACATCCTGTGTTCTGCTGGCGAACTTGACCCTGTTGATGGATGTATCTCTTAAAGTTCGTGCGTATCGAAGGCATGGGCCGTTGATCAATCGTCCTGATGGCTGAGAGTTGTCTCCTCAAATTGCTAGATGTTTCAAGCACGTTGCGCTTGTAGATCATGTGCATATGTCTAAGTCTTCACCTTGGCTAGAAGAAGGAACCGTATATGTCTCTTGCCATGTAGCTTGCTCGGGCGTATGTGCTGTTCTTGGTAGTATGAAAGTTGAGATGTCTAGACAACTCCCTCAATCATTGTTGTCCTGTCGCGAACATGGAGGCTTGGTCTCTTTCTACTGGCGATATGGTTTGATCAGTGTATCCTTCTTCGTGCAGGGTCTACAGCTTCTGTCAAATGGAGTTGGCAACGTTGCAGCCAGCAATGCTGCCAGTGGTGCCAGCACAACCACAAGCTCACCAGCAGACTCACCACACACAACGTTACAAGGGAATGGAAGGTAAGGGGATACGCTTGTGCAACCTGTTGGGCAAATGCTCCTTCTAGAACACTGGTTATCTTTTGCCATCGATACTCTGGATATTGTACTCCTATGTGGACTTCTTTGCAGCCAAGTTCGGACTTATTGCAGATTCCCCATAGCAGATTGGGAAGTTGAACTCCTGTTGCATGGGGAAGCACGTTAGAAGCCCTTTTCGTACTTTTGTGTTGTGAGATTCTAATCTTCTTTTTCTTTCCATATGCAGATCAGGATACGGTTAAGTGAGCATTTTTTGGGCCCCTACTTGTCATACTAATATCTGTACAAAGTCAATATAGTGGATCTTGAAGCTTCGGGTCGAACTCGGTGAGGATTTTAAATGTCTTTTGGTCATCCGTCTGGTAAACCAAACGGTGATGTTCATAAGATGTGTGTATTTGCAGCATCAATCGAGGAGCGTGTTCGAAGATGTTTCAATAGTCACTATTGCATATGTGCTTTGCTGAGGAACACGTTGTATATGGTTGCGTGCTTCTAGACAGGTTGTGCCGCCTAACCGGGCAATACGATGCTCAGACGACCTTGCCGATGGTCTCTTTTCGTTCTCGCCGTAGCCAAATAGGCCATTCACTTCTCATGGCATACATGTATGAAGTGTGTGTTTCTTGGTGCTACCGGCGTTATCTTTAGGCTATGCTAGCTCAACTCTACCAAGTATTCTAAATATCCCAGCCGAAGCGGAAATTCCAATCCTATTACAATTCGTGTTCGTTGCATAAACTTGTCTCCATGTGCCAATCCACTACCTAGCTTGAACGTAGTCACAAAGGAGGAAGAGCGGCAGCCGCGGATGGGTATGTAGATGCTGGTAGAATATCGGCAACTTCGGGCTAGTGCAAAGCTAAACACTGGTTTAAGTCGGATACATAACGCTGATCATGTTATGTAATTCGTCGGATAAAGCGTACGTTGACATGGACTTTGTGTGTGTATATGGTTGGGTTCTTGTCGCATCTGTGCTAATTAAGCGTGATAGCGTAAGGGCCACCCAAGTTTGTGAATAGGGTCACGAGATAAGAGAGCATGGCGGCAGCTCGAATGGATGCCGATCTCAACTATACCTAGATGGATGTATGCTCGCTTTTGGTTGGGAGCTGCTGATCACTGAGGAGTCATTGCATATTCATGTGCCCGGAAACCAATTAAAATCACAAACGGTTGGTGAAAGTCCGTCACTACAACCTGACGAACTCCTATCCTAAAGAACGTTTCATAGAGAATGTTTTGGCGTCGAACCACTGTCGCCAAATAGACGACTCAGCATGCATGGCGCATACGGTACGGAGTAGGGCGAACTAGAGCTGTGCAGTTAATAGAATCCGACATTACCGTAAAAAACCGGGGTGGGCTCTGACGCACGGTCGCCGGGAGCGTGACCTGGCGGGGGGAGTCCCTATTCCGCGGACCGGGAAAACGCGGAAACTTGGAAACCGCGGAATATAATCGGCCTCCTTTCGGATTTCTCCGAGATGGGGGGGGCATTAATCCTGAAAATTATGTTATTGTGCGCGCGCAGCCCGCATTATCTGCCGGTTATGAAGTATCATTGAAGTATTAGAAGTACTGTCTGACCAGTCCGACAGCCCGCTCGGCTCGGCCTCCGGAGTCTCCGTCAAGGCCTCTTGACCTCTAGCTAATATTATACCTGTTCACGTCTATAATGCACATGCGTCGCTCACTCAAATCGCAATATGGCAGATGCTCAGTTCGCTTCTTTCCCAACTAAGTCAAGTGCGTCATCTTCAAATCTTCATGCGGAATGAGAGCGCGCCACAGAAACAGCAAAAAGAGTAGCTTCCCAGCATGCATATCTAGGAACATAGCTAGGAAACATAGCATTACCGATACCTTAGGCATCTCAGTCTGCTAGAAACAGAGAAAGTTCTTGGCAGAGTCAGTGTTCACTTTTTGTTGGTTGCCGGCCCGCGCTTGTAGAAGCAACTGAAAACGCTTCAAATAGGTTGCTGCATCGTTAGCTCAACATAGCATTGTCAGTAGCCGCATGGCGCCAAAAAAACAGGTTGCGTTTGATCTGTCGCGCAACCGAACAAAAGAGATCACTCCAGTCAAGAGAGCATTGACAGATGAACCATGTGTCTACCGTACACCTGGCAACAGTATTGCTGATAGACAGGAAGCAGCTCTTGGAAGTATTCAGCACCGGGAGCTGGCACCGCATGCATTTCTAGATCCCCCATGTACAATTCACGCCCGCAGAAAACCTAGGCTTGCTTCCAATTGCAGCCTTTCTCTTATCTGCGATCAGACGGCAGCAACAACATCTCCAAAAGCAGCAACTACTTGTTCACGCACACTAACGAGCTTTGAGGGGTTCCAAGCATTTGCTGATAGCCATCCGGAACTAGCTTTCCGGAACACGGGGTAAGCCACCGATTCAGATGTGTTTGTGCTCACAGCTTGCTCCATAGCTGCAATCTCTTGCTCTTTTCGAACATTGGTGTTTTCCACCACAAAAAGTGATTAGGGTTTTGTGCTTCCTCACCACCCTCAAAATCGGAAGCCAGATCAAGGCTGAGATATCTACGTTTCAAATGCGGGTGGTTTCAGGGTAGGTCATCCTTTCTCACGTGTAACTTTGAAGGCTAGCCCATATAAGCAGCTCCTTTACCGATCTAGGATCTTGCTCTAACTTCCAAAATGTATGACGTTGTGCAGTCAACCTAACCTCCTCTGGCATGCGTACGTGAGCACCTACAAGCCCGAGTACATGACAATGGCAGGACTTCCTAAAAGTAGACAAGAGGTCAATGCCCTAGAGGTGAGTCAACATTTTGGGGGCGGACAACACCTCGGATCCAGATTTCCAGTCTCTGCAAACAGTTCTCTTGCCAGAAGATGTAACATCAACATGTCAAGCCAAGGATCTTCCTCTACGTTCGACCGCCTCTAAAGCACCCTAAAGTGAGCCTTATACCACGACTGCATTTTCATTTGCAGGCAAGGCACCCTGGGCTAGTGTTCAAAGCGGTGACCTATAAGAGAGAAGCATACAATGCCAACGACATTGCGACACAGCTGCGAGATCCGGGGCATCCAGCACAATACGCCGAAATCACAAACGTGTATGACACAGTGGACTCCATTGATGCCCTCCGCGTGCTCGCGGCAGGCTTGTTCGGAGCAAAGGCCCGCTCTCTTGCGCCGCTGAACTCAACATGTTCAACCACTATCAATTGCTCCCCCATCCGGTAAGCTCGCAGATCAACGCCTAGCTCGTGCGCACCTTAGTTTCTTCCTTGCATTCTTGTAAGTTTTGAAAGGCATTATCGCCCTTCTCGATTGTCTCTTGAAGCCTGTCAATGTACCTCTGTTGGAGTTTCTTCTTCCATCACTTGACACATTGCAGTTAAGTGTGTCACGCCAGTCGGGTGGCCACCAACGTGCTCTTTTCATCAGCAGGCACCCTGTTGTCAATTTTAGAGCAGCCTAGTTACTGCCGCTTGACTTATCGCCTCTCCAGTTTCAAACTACCTTCTACACGCGCATTTCTGCCTTGACAGCAAGACCCCTCTCATTGCACAGGTTTGGACCAGAGTCCGGCGTGCTCCCGCTTGCTGGTCGCCGCCTTGGGGCTCTGGTAACACCACACAAGAGAGATCATGTCTTAGCTAGGGAGGAAGCCATTGCCTTCATGTCCAGTCGCAGCTTTTTTGAGAACCGTGGCTTGCGTGACGTGCACATACCCCGTCCCGGTGCAGACTCAGCGCATAGCAGCCTGGCCTATTTCTGGGAGAAAGCATGTGCGCGAAAAGGTGGGGCATGCGAGGATTCGAGTTGCATTCTGGTGCAACTTCGTGGCGTTTTGAATCGCGGCCTACCGTTCATGTGCTAAGGGTTGCCAGCGAACTGAAGAGCTTCTTGGATCAGAATCGTTTACTCGGGCCGAGTATGAAGACATGAAGCACAAATGAATACACCTTTCAATCATTGCCGCTGCCCAAAGCCCAGGTCGCGGCTCCACAAAATCAAATCTCAGTAAGTCCACACTGCCGGTCTACAAAAGGCACCTACATTCCCTCGATTTTAAGCGTGACGGTTCATACAAAGACCTAAAACATGAAAGTCTTCTTTGCAGGATTGCAGCTTCACTCCCCAGCTGACTGGTTGACATGGCCATCTCAAGATGTCATCCCGGTTGGATGCAGTCCTCTTACATCTACCTTCTACCTCAAGGGCTTTATGCATCTCACTGACGAGCACCATGAGTTGCTTGGCTTGACGGCAAGGAATGGGGTCTTCTGGGCCTCGTCGATTCTTCCTGTGGGGGAGGCGCTCCTCTGCGTTTGGAACCATGGCCTTGAAAGCGACGAGCAGGTTCGTCCTTTAAGTACACTTCTCCTCTTCACTACTAGTACTTGCCAAGATTGTGGTTTGTAGGACTCTTTAAAGTAGGAGTCGGTCCATTGTCATCTGCTTCCCTCAGGATCAAGGCTGGATCAAGGCTTGACAAGGCTTGACAAACCCCGCTATCTACTAACAAGATTCAAAAATTTACTTGTGATAAGTAGGACTTTAGGATATTCAAACAAGTGCACTGGTCCCGCGCTAACATTTTAAATCCACGTACTGCACACAAAGTGCTGCAAACCAGATTTCATTTACTTTGCGGCCCTCAATGTCCAGCCTTGATCCGCATCGGAACTTTCTGTCACGGATCTTGAAAGGTTCCAATGTAAACATGGTTTCTACTTTAATAATCCCGACTTGAAGCTTAGAGGACCTCCACAGTCTTCAATTCCTTCGACACATCCCGTTCATACGTCCCCAGCCAAGAATTATTAGCCAAGATCTCCAGCGTAGCGGCAAACCCGCATCTTTCATTCTCGCAGCTGAAGGCACGCTTGAAGGCTAAAGAAGACGAACTGCTGAAGGAATTGGACCCTGGAGAGACCCGCGAGCTTGCCGCCATGCAGCCCGGCTGCCTTTGGTTCGGAGTTCGACAAACTGATGCGAACGTTGCGGCTTTCCACCGACTCTGTTCCGTAGCCTTCGGGGAAGATTATCTCCAACTCTTCTTGCAACACTCGGCGGATGACATTGTCCCACCGGCCGCCATGCTCAGCTTCATCAACCAGCTCTTACCCGTCGAGGCAGCATGGTTCCTCGAGATCTCAATGGCGTTTCCCCCGGGGTTCCTTGCCGAGCATGGGATTGATATCAACATCGGGTAGGACACTCAGCTCGCGTCGCCTCGAGCGCACGGGCCCCAATCATGGAAGCCCTTGCTCGCTGGTTTAGTAGTAACGTGTTTCATGTATCCTAGATACTGTGTGGGCCCCAAATATTAGTTCGAGTAACATTCGTTACACGAATCAGTGTGACATAAAAGGCAGGCGTCCGCTCGAATTGCGTAGAGATTGCTCTTGGTTTGCACAAATGTTCTGAAAACCGTCCGTTATTAGACTTTCCTGCTGCCGTCATAGAGACGTCCGTTCAAGTTCTACGTAACGTGACTACGCACCACGTACATTAATGCTTTCGTCAAAGCTATGCTGCTTTTGCTCAACCGTGCGTTACCACTCCTTTCTACTACAGATGGCAAGATCCCGGAAGCGACTTTATTGCCGCTGCTAGACATGCTGTGGCGACCTTTGGCCGTAACGCCACAGGAGCGCACAACTTTGCAACAGCCAAGGACCTTTCCCGATGTCTGCTAAGCAGAACCTACATTACCAGGAAGGATCCAACGGCACCACCAGGCTGGACGGAAACCAAGTGGATGAAGGGAATTGACGCACCGTCTCTTGTCATAAAGGTAATATGGTACTCTTGTAGGCTCCAGCCGTATACGATACGTGATTCTTCGGTCACGTCGATTGTCCTTCCATGCTAACATCAACGCAGGACTTGTGTTCTGGCTTGCATCTATATCATAGTTTGCCCCACATCACTGATCACACACAAGCGGCTGTAAGTCCAGATGGCTATATGAAGAGTTGGAGACCACCAACCACAACGCGAACTTAACGAGGATTGATCTAGTTCACCGAGCTTACTCTTCTAAACCGAGGTTTGATGCCTCCATTACTCGTCGAGGGCGATTTATACTTTCTTTAGCAGGCCCTCCGTGTTTTTTAAGGCTCATCAAAACAGTTTTGTATTGAGGCCAGCCAGAGGTATGAATTGCAGCTCATGGAGAGTTGCCCGGTGGACATGCTTTCGCCGGCGGAGGCGGCCGCCTTCCGAGACGAATTTCAAGCTTTGGGCGAGCTCTTCTCTGACCAACACAAGAGCACCGAGTGAGTTTTAAAGACACCTGAGACACGCAAATTGGAAAGCTCTTCGTATATATAGGACACGAGAAGATTAAGCAGCATAATACTTTGTCTTGTTTGTGACACCCCAAAGCTTTATAATTGACATCTCATACGTCTCTCGAAGTAAATGCCACTCAGGGTCAGGATGACGGCCAGTACTCTAGCTCATAGCGCTTGCTACGATTCTCTAGCATATCTGTTCAGCTCAAACAAGGCAACTCGATGCGCCACGCTCGTTTGATTGAAGTGAACTTTCCCATCAGATGAACTCGTATTGATTGGTTTAACCTCTCAACCGACTCTTAACAACCTTTCTGCAGGTTACAGTCGTTTTTGATGCGGCTGCAAGCCCGATGTGACACCGAGCTGCATGCGCAAGTGCCGCTTGCAAACGTTGGCTTCCACTCCCGCAGAGAAGGATCCGGAATGCTAGACGACGAGGACTGGTCGCGTGTTGTTGTTGAGACGAAACGGTATCCCTTTGCAACCGTTTTAGCGCGCTTTTTGCACGTTACGTATCTCAGGCTGGAGATTCCTAAGGGCAACGACCTCACCTATCTCGTGCATCACGGGATTAGCCTGCTGAATCTTGTAAGAGAGGTCAACGAATATCAAAGGCAGTGGAAAGTAAGTGGTACTCCAGGTTCCTTCGCGGTCGACACTGGTGTAGTGCTGGAGGAGTCGGTTGTTGTCGAGCAACCTTTGAAAGGGCCAAATCAACAGGCGCTCGCGTGGTTCACGAGCACTTTATTGAGGGAGATTCTTGCCGTTCAGAAGTACTATCTGTCAACAAAGGGACCATTCAAAGGGACATATTACGGTCTACTTAGAAGGTAGAGTCTGACAGACCAACTTTTGAAGTTCTTGCGTTACCAACATAGCTGTACATATTTCATTGTAGGCCCCGACTGCAGCTAGGCACGTCTTGTGACAGCCGCCCGATTCTAACACATGTCACTTTCCGCATCATGTATTTTCCAATATGAATGTACACCCGTTTCTGTCTCGAAACCAAGAGTGCCACTTTTTAAGGTTTCAGGCTTGCTTTCAAATCTCTATGCTCCCCGTTATCGAGCCGCCATCTTAACGCACGCACATCATTCTTTACTTGCCCAAAACATTCGGAGTATGCCTGCACCAACGAAACTGTTTCAAAGGAACTCGTGCGGTACGTTTTTCCCTCGGTCATCTGCAGTGATGCTACGACGATACATCTGTACAAATGAGACTATGCCCGGAATCCCGGAAGATTCGACACCCATATATATTAACGTGACATGTATTTGCATGGCTTAATGTCTGGCAAGGAAGGTACATCAAGCTTGACGTTGTGAAGTTTTATCCCGTTGAGGGAATTGACGGCGAAAAAAAACTTGTCTGTTGGCAATCTTTGCATAAAGCATAAAAATGTATGCGACCATGGCTTCTCCGAGTATCACCTTAATACAACGGTTCAGGGAAACGGATCAAGGCTTAAACTCGTCGACTTTTAGCCCACAATTAGTACCTCCAATGCAACCCCGCATCCATGGTCCTTCCAGGAATTCTTCAAACATGGCCTAACAAGAATGATGAGGCACATATCAGATTTTCAAAACACTAGAGTTTCCAAGAAAGTTATCTGCACGTGCGCGAGTCTACGCATGTTTGTCAAATTCGGTTCACAATGGTGAAAGTTGGTATTCGGGTCGGTTCCTCCGCTCTACTGCTACATCGTTATTCGATGACCCTTTTGGATGGCAGATTATTACTTTCGCCCCCGCTTATTCTTGCGTTGGGAAAGCAATTCCGTTATGTAAGCTTTAAATCCTTCTAGTAATCTCTCTTGCCCAGGACTCAAGTCCTCACCATCCGCTCCAAGTCGAATCTTGAACGGCTCTCCATTGTAACCCTGTGCGGCAGAGATTTCCACATAGCATCCAAATACGAGGCTCCTTTGGGACAGGTTTTCTAGAGGTCATCTAGCAAAGAAGCCAGATGTTTTTCGCCAACAACAATACTCATGCCGAAAGCTTTGCCAACCAAGATTTGATGCTCATAAACGGTTGAGTCGGTCAACAGCCGACCAGATTCTATAATGACACCGTATAGCTTCAACCAATTCATGCGGTCTCTGTGCTTTAGAAAGCCACTCGATCGGTGTCTTACCGTCCCTTTATTTAGCATGCAACGCTGGAACGCGCCAGCGGAATCCATAACGCAGAACTGCTTGGCCCACGACTTGGTGCTAGCAGACTGCGTTGGCCTGCACGGGATCAGCTGAGGGTGATGGCAGATCCTGACCTCTAACCAAAGAAAAATCATTCATTGACATTCCAGAGAGTGCATAAAGGCTCACTGGTGAATCGAAGGACGCCCGAGTTTTAGAATGAGAAGGGTGTGTCATCTTAACGATGGAGCTCCGAGCCTTGATCCACTTGGCTAGTCAAGCGGCACCGATCAAAGTGAGATAGTCTAAGCTACAAAGTTTGCATCAACGGTAACTTCAAGCAAGAATTGTGTCTTTGAAATGCAGGAAAACGTTCACCGTTCAACAGGCCCGTGGTAGCAATCTTAGTTGCCACCCAAAATTTCTTGATTCTTCGAAGTTTGATGAAAGCGTACCTGATTGTGTCGCGTGGTGTTTGCCTTATCATCCGGGGTTGATCCCTACGGATTGTTATCTGGCACGACTGGCAAGCGGGTTCCAAGCCCGCCCGAGCCCCTGAGATCGCAAACGTCCAGGGGCTCTCTTCGTTCTTCCCCTCTGACGGCTTATTTGGCATGCCCCCGGTGGCAAAACCGCCGGAAGCCCGGGCTCCGCTAGGAACCCCCCTCTCAGGCCCATCACGGGCCTGCTCCGCAGTCCTTGTTTGGGGACTCGAATCGCCTTCCGTCCGTCGCCGCTTCTCATTACCGTTATAGTCCGCCCCGGGCCCTTTCTCAGTCTGAGAGTCGTCACCCTCCGCTTCCGAATAATCCATGGGACCAGGCGACCGCGGCCGCTTTGACCGGGAACGCCGCATTCCGCTTTTGGCCCCGCCCCTCTTCGTTCCTTTTGTGTCGGGCCGCACCCCATACACGCCTCGCCGACACGACTGCGTCATGTTCTCTGCATGGCTCTTGGAGGGGTTGTACAGGCGAACGAGCTCGCCGAGCGGACGCCCCGTTTTGAGGTAGATGGCCAACACGTGCGAGCAGAGTGGCCCCCGTTTTCTCCTCGCGGCCCTCTGCGCACCGCGGCATGGACATTGCAGCCGCTCCCCGAGCCTTCCCATCACCGAGTGCGGATGTAGGGGAGCGCTATTCGAGTGGACCAGCCACGCGGTCTCACTGGAAGTGCTCTCGCATCTGTTGTTGATGCATCTGCGGGCGCTAAAGACCAGCGCTATGGCATGTCTAACCGCTCGAACCACGCCCAGCTTGAGCAACTTAGCCGCAATCGCGTTACCTTCCTGCGACATGAAGGTCCGCAGAGAGGCCGCTTCTGCTGGTGACGGACCCTCAGGCTGCCTCCCACGTGGAACTCCCCCGGCACCCCAGCCAAGCTCGACATTGGGCCGCGCGTCTGCCGCGAATTGGCTGAGCGGCAGAGGTGGCCAAGGCAACTTTGAGCACACTGCACAGTGGCAGCGTCCGTCCCTTTCGTGCTCCCGGTCTACCACGCGTGGTCGAGCTCCGCCTACTAGCCCCGTGGGACCGATGATGTGCTTGTCGAGCTTGACTTGCACTTCGGGAATCCTTCCGTCCGGGTCTCTACCCACCTCCTGGGGATCCTGCGCGAGGTCCGTCCACATGTACGCTCTCTTTGGGCGGTAGATGACGTCTTGGCACGCAAACCCCCGATCCATCTGAGACAGCTGATCGAGACTGTACTCCTTGCACGCATCCACCATCTCGACCATGCTAACTTCTCTTCCGCCCGCCGCCCGAGAGAGCGCCTTGTGCAAGCTCTCAATGTCTTGCGTGTAGACGTTGTCCACCGTGCCGTCCGCAAAGATCAACCCCGCCTGCCTCCTTGCCCACAACGAAAGCTCGTTGACAAAGACCTTCTTCTTATTTCTCTCGAAGTACTCACCAAACCCCTCCGGCCAGGCCGTTATCCGCTCCCGAATAAGCCGCTCCGCCTCCTCTTGGCTCGCCGCTTGTATGATCCCCTTCCGCCCAGTTTGCTCGTCTCCCAAAAGGTCTCGGCGGATGCCCCTCCAAACCTCTTCGCCTGCACTTCCGCACTCATCCTTTACCTTCTCGTGGCAATTTTTGAGGATGTGGTTCAGGTCGGTGCCGTGCCAAGCCAATGGGAAAGCCCGCGCAAGAGCCTTCTTTAGGTGCCCGGCCCCATCCGAAAATACCCATCTCGCTTGGCCCAGGCTTTCCTCTTCGTGAACGAGGTCTCTCAAGAACCGTGACGTTGACTCCTCCCTTTCCGTCAGTACGATCGCCAAAGCGACCAGCATTACTGGATCGCCGCGGAGAAGAGCGTTGCGGCATCCCACTGGCAGCAGGAGAAAGGGGCCCTTCCGGTACGTGTGGTCAAACGTCAGCGGTGTCGCCGAGTCCCCATACGGCCCGTCGTTGGAGCAGAGCATCCCGCAAAGACGAAGGGCCCTATAAAAGGTATCATCATAACACAGATTCCTCAGTAATTCACGGTACATGCATTGATTCTAAGAGACCTCGGAGTGTTCAAATTTAGTTTTGACTCATTATGTATGTCGATAGTGTTTGTTTTGATTTGCCGGGTCGCTTGCGATCGAAATTCACGACAAGAGCCGTTAGTAGTCGCTCATTGGTCCAAGGTTTGAACGCCAACCTATCAAATCTTCAAGGGCCC